ACGAGCTCGTGGGTTCGTCACGACGAACAAACCCACAAGCTTGTGGGTTCGTCGCGACAACACCACGAGCTCGTGGGTTCATCGCGGCGAACCCAGGAGGGGTTCATCGCGATGAACCCAGACTCCTGGGTTCGCCTAAAGGTAAGAAAAAAAAGAATAAAAAAAAAAAAGAAAAAAAAGGCTGAAGGAAGGAGAGGATGGGGGAAGAAAATGAGGGTAAATTGGTAATTAAAGATAAAAATTTGGCCATGTCATCAAGTTTTGCCAAATGGATTTCACACATAATTTGTAAAGAAAAAAAAAATTTTACGTTAATTAACATGCCACGTAAGCCAAAATTTAACAGAGGGACCAAAAAGGGGCCTTGATTTGTGAACAGTAAGGATCAAAAAGGGGATTTTTTCGGTACAGGGACTAAAAAGGAGCTTTTTCCTATAGCATAGGGACCAAAAAGGGCATTTAACCTTGTTTTTATTCTGTTTCTCACTATTAAGAGGTTGATTGTTTTGATATGCTTGTTTTTGCAAGCCAAGAGAATCATCCAATGAGGAACTTGATTTTAGAAGTTAGGCTAGGATTTTGCTGGTTTATTCTGGTATTGCTAATATATGTTTTGTTATGTGAACTTGAAAGTATAAATTTGATCCCTGATGCTATCTATGTTGAAAATAATTACTAGCATAGAACAATTTTGGGTAAAATCTTTTGTAAAGAATAATTTAGTGTGATATTGAATCAGCTAGGACTGGATCAGACCATTGATCAAATCTTAAGACATTTTTGATATGGTAAGGATCAGATTGTTGGCTGTTGCTAAGAGTTAAGAAGCTATAAAAAGGGTTCTATTGCCAGCCTTAAACTGTAGCATTTCTTTTACAACTTGTTGAGGAAAGTGGATGGTTTTTTCTTTCCTTTTAAAATTTTTAGTCGCAGTTTGCTTTGGATGGGTAGACAGAGGTTGTGGATGAGATTAAAAGTATGTTTTAAGTTTCATTGGTTGAAAACTTGAAATTGAGATTCTTTTGATTTAAATTATTTAATTTAAAGATATTCGGATTAGAACTATTGTTTGGAGGGATTGCTTTTAAGTTTGGAAGTCATTTTTGAATTTATCACAGTTTTGAATGACTAATGGATTTCAAAGTGTCGAAAAAATTCTGAATGTATTCTCTTTATCCTATCAAATGCCAATATAAGTTGCTCTCAAAGTTTTTGGTTCTGTTTCTTGTTAAAGTTTGTTTGATTCAGCATCACATCAAGCATTCTTGAGATTGTTAAATGTTTAATGTGCTAGACAATAAGAGTCTCAGCTCTTGCATTGTTTGACCATAATTATCTTCTGTGTTAGGTATACGGTATATATTATGGACACTAATGAAGAGGAGAGAATTAAGGTACTCTAAGATGTGGTAACCATGTTTACATTTCTCAATTCCATATTGTTGCTATTTAAAAAAAAAAAAATAACCATGGTTGCAATTTTTTTTTCCTGATACATGCCATTGCTATTTGTTATTTGCACAATCTCACACAAATTGATTGTAGGGTATTCTGTGGAAGTGGGAAGAGCACGCTTTGAGACTGAAAATACTAGATTTACCATTTTGGATGCACCGGTAAGCAATTATTTTCAAACTAAAACACCATGATTTTGTATTTTTTATATGATTTCCTGTCTCCATTATTTAATTTTTGTTGGATAAGGTTATAAGTTTTAGTTAGTTTATTGCTTTTGTACATCTGTTTTTTGTGAATTATGATATGATTCTATGAGATTGAAAAAGATGAGGGATAAATGGGAGGGATAATTTCTGATTAATGCTTTAATAAGATGTACAATTTTCGACCACTATAAAAGTGCATTAAGTGATGGTTTTTAGTTCTGTCAAATGAAACTCTCCTTCTTCTTCATGCAAGCAATATTGCAAAACACAGTGGGCAGACTAGCACTCAGTCTGGATGTTTTGCCTTTTAATTATTTTTTTTTCAAAAAAAATGTCAAAAAAGTCATTAAAAAATGGGAGAAAATCAGAAATTGGAAATGTTGAAAATTTAAGGCTACACAGCATGTTTACGAAACTTAAAGGACTAAACTGCCAAAAATAACATCAAAACGCAACTAATCATTTAACTTGGCACAACCTCCTTCAACCTTTGGGAACTGGGTTGTATCTGGTTTGCAGGTCAGATTCAGGCCAGCAGCGCGTGACGGTCCGTTCTGCCACCTTTCGGACTATAACTCCGGCAGAGTAGATCAGCGGGGCCCTCTGAGAAAGTTTTCGATGTTGTGTCTTGTATTATGGCACAATTTTGCTGCAGACCACTGTTCGTCTGGGCAGTCCAAGGGGTAAGGTGGTGCGTTGACCAGTGCCTCCTGATCAACTAATCCCTACTTTTGCAACACTGCCTGCAAGCTATCGTCACTACATTTGATTAGAATTTTTGAGATGTGACAGCTTAGCTACTTATGATTCTAAATACTTATCAAGTGTGTGTGTGCGAACAAGTTTGTAATTTAAATGGTGGAGTTATGTACAGTACTGATGTAGGGAAGCTGTGAATTTGTTTACAGAATAAGATTGTCAGCTCTTGTATTCTTTGGCCATAATTTGTTGTGTTTTGCACGTATATTTCCCATCAATTTTGCTTCAGTATATGATTAAACTTTGAGTGTTGGGTTGTTCAGGGTCACAAAGTTATGTCCCAAACATGATCAGTGGAGCAGCTCAAGCAGATATTGGTGTTCTGGTGAGTTAGGCGCCACTTCACTGCATTTGTTTTGCACAAGTCCCATTTTTTGAATTTTTAATTCTTTCTCCTTCTCTGTCTTGTTCTCTATTCGACTGTCATAATTAGGTTATTTCTGCCCGTAAATGGGAATTCGAAACTGGATATGAGAGGGGTGTGCAAACCCGTGAACATGTTCAGCTTGCAAAAACTTTGGGGTATCTAAGCTGTAACAAAGTGGACGATCCCACTGTTAACTGGTCAAAAGAAAGGTTCTGTTCCTGAATTTAGTTAAGTTTATGATTATATATGCTGTTTTATTTCTGTGTTCTTGTTCTGATGGTTCATTCTTCATGGCATTCTCCCTCAGATATGATGAAATTGAATCTAAGATGATACCATTTCTGAGGTCTTCAGGCTACAATGTGAAAAAAGGTAATTGATATATTGCTTGTCAAAATTTTTTTTTCTTTTTTTTATAGGAAAATGGTGATTGATTGAATTAAAATTGTGAGTTATTTGTATTTTTTCAACAAAAGCAAAGCAATTAATTCTGTATATTGATTGTGTTTTTCATCTTATTCTGAACCTGTAGATGTCAAATTCCTACCAATATCTGGTCTTCTTGGTTCCAACATGAAAACGAGACTGGACAAGAGCATATGCCCCTGGTGGAATGACCCCTGCCTCTTTATAGTTCTTGATGCAGTTGAAATTCCTCCTAGAGATCCAAAAGGTCCTTTTAGGTATGATTTATTACTGTAGGAATTCATACAAATCCAGGAAGAAAGTATAATTTTATACCTATACCCTTTCTCCCTTTGTTATAGAAAAGGCTACATAGTTACTTATAAGGACTCTGACTATTTCTTGAGTCCCTATGACTTTGATTCGGAACATAAGATAGGTAAATAACTAGCTAGGATTCTTAGAAAATGCAACCTAAAAAATCTAACTCCTAAAGATCCTAGAATGACCAAAATGTACCCAAATTATATTTTAAAATGAAAACCAAAATCATGGAACTGATATTATATTAAGTCTGCCCCTGAACATAGAAAAACTTAAGTATGATAAAATAGAACCCTAATTTGCTAAAATTAAAGTTACACAACATAGATTCTGAGTTATCAAGGCTGTATCAATCTTTCCTTTCACATCTATTAACTATATGTTTTCTAAATATGCAGGATGCCTATAATTGACAAATTTAAAGACATGGGAACTGTCGTGATGGGATAGGTTGAATCTGGTACTGTGTGTGAGGGTGATTCCTTAATTGTCATGCCAAACAAGGTGCTTAGTCTTTCCCTCAATCTCTTTATTTGTTTATTTATTCTTAAACCTCGATTCTGAAGTCCAAGATGCATGGATGTCAGGCTCAAGTGAAAGTTCTTGCCATTTACTGTGATGGAGATAAGGCTACATGTGCTGGACCTGGTGAAAATCTGCAGGTTATGTCAGCTGGAATTGAAGAAGAGGACATATTAGTTGGTTTTGTCTTATGTAGTGTTGGTAAGTGCTCTTAAAGATTGTAAAAACTGAAGGCTCTCATGTTTGATCCCCCTAAATAGGAAATTAGATTATAGAAAGTGGAGTTAAAAAGTAAATAGTAGGATAATTTGCAAATTTGTTTGCAGAAATATGTCCCTTTTTTTGTAGTTTTTGACAGCAGCTGCAGATCCTTGAGTTGCTTGACAATGTATGAATGAATCCACTTTATGAAGTCCTCTCATGTGTAATCTCTTAGTTCATATGATTAACTTTGCATCTAATGGTTTGGACTGTCTCTGCTATTAGGCAACATTCACGGCTGGGTATAAAGCTGTCTTGCATATTCATTCTGTTGTTGAGGAATGCGAGATTGTTGAGTTGCTACAACAAATTGATCCCAAGACAAAGAAACCCAAGAAAAAGAAAGTTCTATTTGTTAAGAATAGTGCTGTTGTTGTTTGCCACATTCAGGTTTACTTCTTGCCTTTTCACTCTTTTGGAAATTCCTAAGTGTCTATTTTCTGACACTTGGAATTATCTAGAATTATGAATGTTTTCCACTCAACATGCTATCATCCTCCTGCTTGATAATTGTGGGACTGCTATAATTTCTTTGTATATAAAAGGTGTAGCATTGCTCTGTTATTTATGCACCTTCCAAGCTTTCAAAGGTCTTAAGTGGTTGGAATCTCTAACCAATATTACATTTTGTCAAATGCTTTTCACTGGCGGTTTATTTTTAACAGAGAAAGAAGTTTTGCTTTGAAGTAGAGACTAGCCCAATTATATTTGAAACATTTCTCTGTGTTTGAAATTTGCTCTATGAATTATATCTTCTTGGCAATATTGTCTCTGCCTCTCTGGTGAACAACTTGATTTGTGTTGAGAGATTCTCGGATTTTGCACAACTTGGAAGGTTTACTCTTTGAACTGAAGGTATGTGACTGCATTTTCATTATTCATGAATTACTCTCGGCATGCCATGTGTAATTTGGATTACTTTGGCTGTGTCTACAGGAAAAACAGTTGCAGTGGGCAAAGTCGTGGACATTCCAAGTGCCGGTGTATAAAAAAGTTTTGTTGTTAGAGGTGAGAAACTAAATTTATAGTTCATTTTGAAAAATACAATCTCTAATGGGATGTTTAATGAATGGCTAATTCACTCTGACAAGAACGTCCACTAGACTCTCCTTATGAATGGACGTAAGTTGCAACACAGAATCATCTTAAATGAAGTTGCCGGTGTTAACAATATATTGATGTCTTAAGGAGAGGTGAGGTGCCAATGCCACAGGTGCTAGGCATTGGTACTTTTGATATACTTATGGGTATGTAATGTTTAACTTATAGACCCATTGGCATTTTTGGAACACATGATTGTAATACATGGTTTTCACATCAGTTTGTTGGAAAATATTTAGTTTTGGTTTGGGCATTGTTTGCCATGAAGACATTTAGTTTGTCATTTAGGTTTTGGTTCAATATTCATGAGCGTAAAAACTTATTTACGGCTCTTTCATCGTCTATGGGATCCTGGTTATAAATTGAACTGGCAGATAGAATACATAGCGATAAGCCTTGCCGTTATTTTGCATTAGTTGGTAAGAGCACATTTAGCCACCCTATCTGCAAGCTGATTAGCCTGTCTAGAAATATGTACAAAACATCAAGGAAAATTGGCAGAAAGCATCGAGAGGGAGTGAACCACGGCTCAATTTGCCAAGGACAGGGGAGCTCTCCATTAATCACAAGAGATTAACATCCTGTTATCAGATGAACGTTTGTAAATATGTTGGTAGCTTGGATATGTTTTAATAGATGAAAGTCGTTAGGCGAAGTAGGATCATAAGGACGCTAAAATTTGGCTTCAATTTGCAATTGGTAACAATGGCTTAAAGTAGAAAAAAGATTATTTTCCATTTTTAAAATTAGAAAATGACTTTTAAAGTTCGTTTGGTTTTGCAGAAAATAACTTCTAACTTCCTCTTGGAAAATATTATTCATAGAAAATATTTTCTTTTCTAGAAATTTATTTTTCAGTGTTTGAAAGACTTTGGAAATTTTTTTATAAAAGATATTTTTCAATTTTTGGTTAGTAATGGAAATGAAAATATTTTAATGTGTACTTTTAGCTCGATTTCATTTTGTTGACCAAGACTTACTCCTATGGGGATGCCAATAAAAAGATCATAAATTCCTTAGTCTTTATATAAATAATTGGCCTTATGTTAGTCTTAAAGTATATGTAAAGTAATTAAGAGACGTCATAGTAATTAAATGAATAAAATATAATTAGTTACGTAGTTTAGTGGTAAAATTATATATATTCTTAATTATAAATTTAAAATCTAATTTCTAAAAATTTAATTCTTTATCTCTATGTATAAAAAAATAAACAAATAAAATAAATCAATTGTAAGATGTCAAAAATTTACACAGTATAAAGTTGTCTTTTTTTTATAGGAAATAAAAGTTGTCTTTTTTGATAACATGGCTTAGTGGCGATCCTAATTTAGGATTTCTTATACAAATTTAGAAGTGTGAGATTCAAATTTTATTTAAATATTTTGAAAAAAAAAAAAGGTTGTCTTTTTTCATGTCTAAAGGCCTCAAAGATTGAAGCCCAATAGTAAAGGAAAATTCAAGTGTTCATGTGTTGTCCAGTTGCTAATTTTGGCAAAATTCGGGCTGCTCTATTGCTTTAATAATGGTACAGAGAGAGATGGGTCGGACCTAAAAGGTCAGCGTGTTTTCTTTTCTTTTCTTTTCATTTTTTTCAACAGCTACAAATTGGATTAGGTAATAGGAAATTATTTTTTGTAAACTAAATGGACCTTTAATTTCTGACAAATTTTAAGTAAAAAAATTAAGTTTTTTATTAGACAGACTACTCGACTTTTCATAAATACTCCTCTCTTGCATGAAACATTAAGTTTGAACTTGATGGACATTTTAATAATTTAATTCATTTTCTTAATTTTGTTGAATCTATTTTTCGTTTCTATTTGTCACAACTTAGTCATGAAATTAAAATTGTCAATTGAAAGAAAATTCTCTAAATAAAAAATTCTATTCATGAACTTCTAAAAGAGTTTCATAACATTTAATTTAATAAAATAATTTTTCCCCAAATACAATTCTCAGAATTAAAAATAAATAAAATTTAAATGCATTCATTTTGAATATAATTAAAACTACAAATGAAATTCATTTATACTAAAGACTAAATTGCATCACAATTATTAACTTCACTAGTAGAACTGGCATCTTTATAAAACCAATGCATTGCAATCGCTAATTTTCTCTCACATAAAATAAAATACATAGAAGAAAAAAACAAGAAAACCTTGTTATGTCCTACTAACATGGCCTGATATCGATGCCTTGAACATAGAGACCGCCCACAGAGTAACCATCAAACGAGAAAATATGTATTTCCAGTTCGTCAAGTTCTCCTCCATTGAAGAATTCACCCAACTCTACCTCAAACCAACCATCTCCCCTCACTTTTGGGTACTGATCACCATTTTGCGCTACTACATCTCCACTATCCATAACATATACAGTTCGCTTTGAAACTTGAGTTCCACCAAGTCGAAGAGTAGCTTCTATGGGTTTATTCTCAAATCCTTAAGCATTGGCTACCAGTTTGAACACTAGGAAAGCATTACAACGTGTCATCAGGGAAAGATTGCAACTATCAATCCTCCCAGTGATTTCGAACCAACAGACAAAAAGAAGCTCCGCAACCTCAGGAAATCTGTTTGAAAATTGTAAGCATGAATGATAAATAATATTATCACATATCTATTTGTTCTAGGTTGGGGAAGGAGACTTTATAAAGCAATCACATGTTGGCCTGCTTGAATAATTTTGGCTCTAAATGACTAAATATATGTATGCGTTTTGTGTAATGCATGTTTTTGGCTGTGTTTCCTGTGTGGTTGAGAGAGATACCTCGAATCGGGTATGGAGATCCACCTCCAATAATGAGGAGTATCACCCCATGCAATTGCGAGGTTCCTGGAAGCTAGCATGTAACATTTTTTCCCACTCCTTTTGTCCAGGGAAAAGCTCTGTGCAATGTATGTGATATGATTAAAGACTCAAATTGCAAAAATAATAGAATGAAAAAGAATAGTGATCAGCTTCAATTCAAGATGTCTACCAATTAAACAATGAACAAAAGGATGACATAAACTCACCGTAGAAGGGACATGAAAATCATTAATCATTATATTAACAACAAGAACATAATCTTCTTTCAAAGCATAGTCCATAAGAATTAAGAAACATAGGCAACAATCATTATGTTCTGTAAATTGCCTAAAAAGAACTCAGCTATTTTTATTTAATTAGTCCATATTTTTTATCATCTTGATTCAGGGTAATGCTATAATGCCAGGGAGCTAACTCTCTAAATACCAATAAAATACACCAACCACGGCATTGTACAATTGTGATGCATAATTATATAATTGACTACTTTGATTCAGGATACAGTATGCATCCACTCGTCTAATATATACATTAAGCTTACAATCCTACATGTTATTGTACAGTATTAATACATTAGTTTTACTTTAATCCAAACACAGCAATTGAAAGGAAGTTGACCAACAAGAGGGCAAAGAAAGAAAGAGGCAGAACCAGAAATTTTTTTAGCGGCCATATGCAAACACAACGTTGGTACCTCGCAATTTCAACAAATCAAAATCAGGCAAAAAAAAATTCATTTGAGGAATAACATAAGTTAAAAGAAAACACAACAATCAGAGAGCAGGCTGGGAGTTGGGATGTTTCTATACCTTTTTACCGTCTTCAATGAGGACAGGATGATCGCAGAGGCTGAGATAAAGGGACTTCAATGAAGAAAAGGATGGCGATGCAGGAACCAAATTATGGTAGTCGGCCGGCAGGAACTTATCCCAAAGGGTGTCGGAACTGGCGGCAGAGTTGAACGATTTGGAAACTAGCGACGATCTACAGGCATCGAGTGGACTGGTTAAGGAGATGATAAGGGCGAGACAATCGTTCGGAAGATCGTCGAAATTCGGCGTTCCGGAACCCATTTAGGAGTAGAAGGAGATGGGAAACACCAACTTAGGAATTTAATCCCACAGCCACTAAAAATTGGGAAAAGGTTTAATGCACTTAGTTGGTCCTTTCACTTATCAATTTTATCTCATTTTGGTCCCTCAGTTTTTTTGGCAAGAAATGTTCCTTAAATTTAATTTTCTGACCCCTAAAGTAAGTAGTCCTTTGGTTAAAGGAATACTGGTGTGACCCATTTCTTATTTTGATTGGCAAAGAGAAAATTATATTGATAAAGAGTATAAGAAGAACTCTGTCTCATACAATAAACTTAACTTCATTAAGTAAAGAAAATTAAGTGATGAAGTTTAATATAACTATTGAAGTAAAAGGGAGCAGAGAAAATTAAGATATCTTAACATATAAAATGCTAGGAATTATAATAAAAAAGTTAAAAAATTCTTAATGAATCAATATATTAAAAAAATATATTAATGATATTTAAACAATTTTATAAGAGGTCCTAACAACATTATAGAATATTTTGATTTTCACTTTTCTTTAAGTAAGAATCAGCAAAAAAAATGTAAGTAGTACAAATTAAACATATTGAGGAAGTCCATCCCTAGAAAACTCCGTGCGAAGGGGAAGGTTGCCTAAAAACTTGGGTGGGCACCAGTGGGACAGAGTACCTAACTTGGGAAAAATTAGAGAATGATTTAGAAATAACTTTTTATAATTTTACATGTTATTTAATTATCAATTTTTTTATTTAATTAAAATTTATGATATTATATGTATTTATTGATTGAATTATGTGTAAAAATTATATAAAAAAATCATTAAAAAAATTCTCTCTGCATCATTAACTGAAAAATTTTTTGGCAAAAGGTACCCATTTGCCCTTTAACTTTTTGAATTTGAGGCATTTTACCCCTCATATTACAATATATGATATTTTACCCTTCATGTTTCCAAATATATGATTTTTTATTCTTCATGTTTTCGAATTTAGGGAAATAAAGCAAAATTTAATGACAAAAAAGTCACGTTCGACACCTCCATTGTTAATTTACGTTATCTATTGACGTGTTCATGCCAAATAAGACTTTTTTACACGCTGGCAAGTCCAGCTTGCACCGAGCTAAAATTCTACTCCAACAATTTAGTTTTGTTTTTTTCGTTCCTCACTTTCCTCTTCCCTTCTTCAACCATTTCTTCAACTTATGCAAATCTCTAACATCTCAACCAATCTATTCACCTCAATCAATTTCTATATTCTAAGTTTTTCACCATCATCAAACAACAAAACCCACAGAAAACCAA